TGAATCCTGAATTCCCAACTCTTTCCTTTTTTCTTACTACCATAAGAGATGGATATCTTCTTCTCTTCTTTTTTTTTTTTTTTGTCTTTTTTGGACAAATGTTGCCCTTCTATACCGTGAATGAATAAATTTCATCCATGATCCCAAACTTTTTTTTTTTTTTGGTTCTACTTTTCTTTTAAGTTCTAAACCTTTTTAAATGATTGGAAAAAATATGACAAAAGAATCGAATAAACTACTTTAAGATTTTAAGAATCAAAATGAAATAATTCAAAAATTAAGAATAAAATAAAATGTTAGGATAATGAATGAAATTTAGCCATGATAAATAGCAACATTTGTATGTTCAATGGACTTGAGATTGTCATTTGAAGAGAAATATTTTCTCCCAAAACAGGAGCAGAAGCGTAGAAAGCAAGTTTCATCATTGGACCATTTGGCTAGGCGTGAGTGATGTCCACAAGGAGAGAGGCTTTACCAGACTAGAAGACTGAAATTAGCAAATCCTGGTTACATAGGGTCCCCCAACTATAATTATCAGGTTGAGTAGTAAGTGCTTAAAATTAAAAGCAACATAAAAATTAAAAACCCCAGAACAACACACCGCCCTGTTAGCTACCAGCAAATCACGTTTGGAGGAGTCATTCAGTCTAAATATTTATGAACTATAAATTTGCAGAAGGAAAAGAACAGAAACCAGTAAGATAGAAGTCATTGGATCCTTCATTAAAAACACACAAGCCAACTTCACCAAATTGGCAAAAAAAAAAAAAAGAGCCAAAAGAAAATAAATAAGGAAAGACTAAACAGTCAGAATTCACAGCAAGAAGTGATCCCCACTAAGTACATTCTTGGCCTGTAATGCAGAAACCTATCACTGGATGCTCAACCATCTGCCAAAACAAAATTCAAGTTTTCAGACCAAAAAGGAAGCGAGTTAAATGTCTTAAATTAGACAAACGAGGGGTAAGCGATTGAAAAAAAAATACCATTATGAGCTCTTGAATTGAAAATGGGAAAGTCATGTGAAGTGGAAGGGATGGATATTGAGAGCTTGGTTGTTGAAACTGATGAGCTGTTTGATGACTTATCATCCAAATCAAGCCAGGAATCTCTATGTTTTGGTGGCCATTCATCAAAGAATCGATGGACTGTCTTTTGGGGTTCTCCTTTATCAAATTTAATAGGCATTTCACATTTGATATCACTTCCCAATACGTAGCAATGCTCATCATCCTGCTTGTTTTGTTTTGAGTTGTGATCAGTGAGGCTTTGAAGCTGCAAGTAAGAGTATTCACTCTGTAAGCCAGAGCAGCTCCTCTGCTTTGAAGAAGAGGAGCTCATTGTTAGTGGCGTAAGTTGCCATGAATTATCCACGGATGAATCTGAGAAGCTCCTCATTGTCCCAGAAGGCTCAGAGAAAAAAGCGTGCTCATCCACCTCTTCTTTTAGCCCATAAACATAACTGTTTCTTCTTCATAAAAGCCACGAGAAACAAAACTCATTAGCAAATAGTAGCACTAAAAATATGAAGAAATATGCAAAAAAGAAAAGAAAAGAGGTACGGTAAAAGAAATTTCAAGGGACAAGGATCTTTGTAACCGAACCTGTAATCTGTATTTGTCTGGGAGTAAGAGCCAGACTCCAAGAGAGAGTGGGTGGCGTTTTCTTGAGGTGACAGGCCAATCCCTGGAGTTCTTGATGCATGGGGATACATAGAGGGGTGATTGACCTGGGAATGATAAGCAGGGTAACGAAGTTGATGGTGGTGCTGTTGGGACTCGGAGGAGGACAAGGACATGGAAGAAAGAGAAGAAAAAGAAGGGGGGTGAGTCTTGGTGATTGATGAGATATTTGAGGTTGCTGTTGAAGGGTTTGCTATTGCTGTAGTAGTAACTTCCACAGGCTTTCTTGAACGGTTTTTGCCTCTATGCATGTGTCTTTCACAGTACTTTGAATCTGGGTAGGCTTCTTTCGAGCATCTCCATTTCTTTCCATCTGTTCTCCTACACCTCCCGGGCTCTGGGTCCACTTTTCTCCCCAATCCCATTTGGAAACAATTCCATCCAACTGTCAAATACAACAGGAACCTTATAGTTAAAGATGGAAAAAAAACCGGCTACAGAAAAACCAAAACAGAAGGAAATAGAAGTCATTAGAAAAGTTAAAATGGGTTTAGTTTGGGTTTTACTATGTGGAGGCTGGCGAGAGAAAAGCCTCGAAGAAAGTGAGGAGTCCAAGCAGCTTCTCTTGATGGTGAAGAGGAGATCAGGTGGTATGGGGATGCCTGAGACCATGTACTTGAAGATTAGAGCTTGGTGTTCAAGCTCTTGCCACTGTGATGCAGTAAAAGGAAACCTGTTTCTTCCACTCATCATCATTCAAGAGAGAAGAAGAAAGGAGAAGAAAATTGTTGAAAGCAAGCTAATAAGAAAGGTGGGGAAAAGAAAAAGGCAGTAAATTAGACCACACAGTTCGGTGAAAGAGAAACAAACATGAAGAAAGAGAGAGAAAGAGGGTTGGTTTCTCTGCAAGTGTGTTTGTTGGTTGGTGATTACTTATTACTTGAGAGGCCTGCTGCTGCTGTAGAGTAGGTATATTTATTTCAGGGACCATTTCCCTGCAGAATCTTCTGTACATGGATAAAACTAATGGTTCTGATATAATGCTGCCACCTCTCTTTTCTCTCTCTTTTCTTCCCTGACTCCTGAGTCCTGAGGGAGAGAGCAGCTGCTCATATTATGACTGCACCTCTCTGTTGCTTTCTGGTCCTGCAGCTAAGCTACCTCAGTGGCAGCTCTTGTCTCTGACAACTCTACGGAAACCCATAAACTAAAGGTGAGTGGATTAAAAAGACTGTAAAAACAAAAGAGAGAATTATTATTATTATTAACTACAAGAGTTGGTGTCTGAAGCCAAATGCCTGCCCCCTTAAGAAGTTTGTACGGTTTTGGGCTGTTACTGCTACTAACTCTTTTACTTTTTTCTGTTCCTTTACCTCAGACCCCAGCATCCCCCACTTACTATACGATCTTTTTCAATTTTCGGAAATTGGGAAAATGAAAGATTAGTTCCAGGGTTCTTTTGGTGCTTAACCAGGCTAACTCTTCCCACTTTTTTCTCATCTACCTTTTGTTTTTTCAATGTTATATATATATATTTTTTTCATATTATGTGTCTGTTCTTTTCCCTATTTCTCAAATGTGAGGAACATGTGCTGGCTTGTCTATCTCTTGTAAAGTAGCTAGTCTGCAATCTACATAAACCAGCTCAGTTAGGTAATGTTTTAACCATTGCCATCTATTTATAGCTATTTTATTAGTGGAGTGTGGAGAATGAAACCATTCTTTGCATCGCTTAACACAAGGATTAATATTCTTTAAGCAAAAACTGGTGGTATATCAGCCCTGTAGCAGCTCTTCATTATCACTCAGGTCCAAAAAGAGTCAAGTGGACAGAACTGCTTGAACAGTTTTCCCAATGATCCTTGTTTCTCCCTGTAGTTTGGGACTATTGTAAAGTTTTATTATAAGGTCAGTGGAGAGATATTGAGCATTCATCAAGGTGGAAAGGGCATTTGCAGAAGTAAGATAGGAAAGAGAGTATAGGACTATTTATTTTGTTTGGTTGCATTTAATACCCAGGCATAATTCTTGTATCATAAATTTAGCAGGTGTTATACGAAGTAGTGGACTCTTTGGTACTGTTCACAGACTCTGTCCTTATTCCCTGGCAGGTTCAAACACATGCAAAGAACCCTTTTCTACCAAAAAAAAAAAACCCCACTTGACCAGAACGGCCCTACGCATTGCATTTCTTGAATAAATTCTCTTTTCGAACTTCCTAAGCATAGTTTGGTAGAGCCCACTTTCATTGCTTCACTTTGCTCCCAAAAGTAGTGACTAATGAATAATGAGAAATGTTTTTTTTTTTTTTTTTAATCTTTGGATCCTATGATTCAGTGAGCTAATGAAAGATATTCACCTTCATTGATGTTCCTGGAAGAAACACTGGCCACCAGTGCTCTACCTTCAGGGTTCCAGCTTCCCAACTCAAATGTGGGTCATGGCCAACTAAACATACTACTCCAGAAACAGCTTACAAATATTTATGGTCATTCCTGTCTTAAAAAATCCAGCAAGATTATGGCCCTAGCATTTGCCACTTTGCCAAGATTTGAGCTTCAAAAAGACTGTTCCCTGGCTATTACTCAACAATCAAGATCACTGCTCCTAATTAATTTCAAAGTTCAAGCTCCATTAATCCAACCCGTGTTTAATTTCTTATGTACTCCCCTACTCTATCATGTCGAGGAAACGAGAGCCATATGCCCTGCCTTAAGGCCACATAAGGTGGCACAAAGTGTGTCTCAATAGGTCAAGAAACCTAGCATAGGGTGGTAGGGACACCACCCTGTGACTGACTGCCATTTTAAGGCAATCAAGAAGAGCTCATTTCCATCATAATAGCAGTCAATGACTGAATCAGGAACTTGATAGAATCTTGGATCGGCGGTAGATGCACCATTAAACTAAGTCTGCTAATTGCAAAGAAACTATTGGTTTAGCTGAAATAATTGTTTGGTTAAGAGGGAACAAGAACCTTTAAAGTTGCTTACCCTAGATCCGAGATGCAAGATGCGCCGTTTAACTTGAAAACTTCATCTACCACCTCTGAAAAGCACTTATGATTCGAACTGAACCAAAAAATATTTATTTTACACTTTTCAAGGAGCACAAACAGAAGAAAACAAAATCCATTCACCGTGCGCCCTTTGTTTTCATTTTTCCCGCACTCCCAAAAGCTAGATTCGTTAAGGGAAAGCAATGGTAAAATTTCATTCTCAGTCCTGTTGCGCAGTAGCCTTAGCATTTCTCTCTTTTTTCCCCTTTGCTTCATGGAACATGACCAAGAATTGTTTGCCTTGAATTTACCAACACAATATAATGATGAAAAAGATATATCATTCAATTCTAATAACAATATTTCCCAGTCCCGAATTCAAACACCCTGCTACAACCTGATCAAAATCCCATTCATTTAATTATAATTATTGTTATTTATCAATTTTCAGGGTGCCAAGTAAAAAATAGCAAGAGAAATGGGAGAATTGGGACGAGGCAAAAATAAATACATATATTTTTACAAACCTATAACATTTTTTGCTGATATTGACTATAATTTGACATTGTACATTGCAGAACTTACGTTCAAGTTACAACACTACAAAAACCAGGCCATCTTTGGATGATTGTGGTCTATTCCTTCTGTATAAATGAGAGAACAAGATCCGTATGTACAGAGAAGAGTTGTGTGTCCACAAACAGCTGGGAGGAGGTGAAAACCGTCAGTATATTTTCAGCAATTAAAAAATAAATATGAAAATAATCATCCTCAAAAAATGAAAGAAAATGAAAAGCATAAAATAAAGGAAAACAAGGTTCAATGTACTATAATTATTCTGAAATCAGGACTGGTGAAAAACATCTTAGATATTTAGCGAAGGGAATTGAAGGATTCACCTTCATAAATGGTCGATCACGACTAAGGAATGAATCAATGAAGCTCTCCTTTAAAAGCAATGATACCTGAACATAGAAGAAATTCAGGATTTTATCATTTGTTTTTGAACAATACAAGGTAGCAGAATATGACATATAAATACTGCATTATACAACTCCATCTTCCCACCTGCCTGTCCAAGAGTAAATTCTTACACAAATACATACATAACCACCACAAAGTCCACATAAAATGTTTGGCTTGTGGTAGGTTGGCCAGCATAAAACTATAATTACAACTTTTGACCATAAATCCTCAGAAAATTTCCTCAACCAAAGGGTAGAGAAAACCTTAAATTTTGCTTTAATGACTTGATTGGAAAGGACCAAATTTTGTGCTAAAGATTCCCCGGTAGACATTTTATGTTGAATAAAATGTTGAAATATCATTATCAATATACATCCTATTTCCTTTTGGCATTTTACATAAAAAGTTCATTGTAATTCATATTCTTTTAAACTCATGTTTAATGCATATACAATCCTCCAGGTTCTAGGTACACTTTGATTCAACTGAAAATATTAGTAACAATAACTGACCAAGTTCTTAGTATTGGAAATATCCATCCAACAAAGCCAAGCATGGTTTTGACATCCTTATGACCCTATGGATCACATATCCCGACAAACTTGTAATATGTATCTGGTAACAGCAAAATCTATGACAGAAAATTCTAAACAATTCACAATTGTAAATAATGCATTGATAGTGTAAGACAATCAGTACAACAGCATAGTAGGTTTGTCTGGCTACCAAAGAAACACCCAAACAAAGCTGCTTTGCTGAAATAATCTAATTAAATGAAACACAAACCTTATCATTGTTGGACTGTACATTTGTTATTGTGTGTGAACGCATGTTAGAGCAAAGAGAATCCAAGTATGACCTTAACACTGATAGAAAACCTTTGGCAGCTTCAATCTATACAATAAACCACATAAAAACAACAATTAGCAAACCACTGAAATGACAGCATAACAACTTAAACAAGCAATTACACAAAAACCAAAACGTATCAAATAAAAGATGATTCAATGATCATATGGATAGTCAAATTATAAACTTCAGAATATGGTGGTATTCTAGTCCACACCAAAATAGTAGAAATTATAGTTTCTAGTTAGACCTCACAATACAATCAATGCATAATTCAGATACTGACGAGTTGAAAAAGCAAAACAATAACAACTCTTGTATATGAATTTACTATCATAATGAAAGGCTCAGTTTCCATGATGCCATTCATGGAAGGCAAACAATTCCATTGCGCAAGAAACAAAGTGCAACAGAGTACCCTCTATATGAGGTAAATCCACAATGACAATGCTCTGCACATCGAAAACAGTGTCACACTACAATCTCACCAGTCAAGCTCAGTAGTATGCTGTCAGGAAAGGGTTCATATCATCTAGAATTCTACAATTATACAATGCCAATCATGAATTTTGTGGGGTTCCACCTGAATTCTATATGAAGCCCCCATGAACCATACCCATGAATGTAGGTAAAGTAAACCAGACGGTAAAAGGTCCTTCGGGTTTAAGATTGGCATAGAAAAAGCAAAACTGATAAAGATGGCAAAAAGCATACCTGCACATCTGTGCACTCATGTACTGGTCTTTTCCTCCCCAAATAACTTTCCCCGACAAGCTTTGCATGATAAGGACTTAAACATGAAAACAGCTCCCTATGCCGTGGCAGTTGTGGTATCGTTGATGCCTTTATCTATCACATCATGCAATGATTAAGTTAGACTTCAAATGCACGATGGAAACTAGGCAATGAAATGTAGTGTACAAACTTGTAAGCACTAAGAATATGCAAAATAAAGCAAGCAATTTTGTGAATTTGCTCTTCTGTTTGCTAAGCAAGAAAACAAGCTTTTACACATCCAGATTAAATTAAAAAACATGTAATTAACTTCTTACTGTTGACCTGACAAAAATCAAACAGCTCTATGAAAATTGTCATATGTTTAGATATATGTTAGTAAAAAAGAAAAGGACATCAAACCACTGAAACAATAATTTCTCAAGCATACCACCCCAATAGAAAAATAAATAAATAAATAGAAGGAAATGGAGAGAAATAATAGAATATTAATCAAACTAAAAATTTTACTTTTATTAGCAAAAGGAGCTAATATTGCAATCAAACAAACATATTAGAAATAACATTATTATGCCAAATTGTAACTCCATGACTTAGAAAACAAAAATAATGTAATAGTCATTATCAAAAAGAAAAAAATTGTCTGCCATGCATCTAATAAGTTATAATGCAATGTAAACAGAAGAGATGCAAACCTGGTTCTTATTAGCATCAACAAGAATAACATTGGCTAATTTTGACTGCACTTCACTGGTTTTGTTCTTTACACCAACCTACAGAAGAGAAAAAATTTTATTAGCCAGTACAACATTAGGGAATAAACTAAGGATAAACTGGGAAAGTTGCATTAAAATCTATATTCCACCATATGTTGAATTCTCAAATGTGCCATAGTTCATTGAAAACATATTTATCGGAAGATAACTTATTCAGAAAGATCATATTACTTAACTATAAAGAAAACTTAGCCAAGAGTCTTTATTAGTAAATTACAATAATAACCAAGACTTTTCCCAGTATGTGGATTCAGCTACATGGGTTATGTAGATCATTGTGCTCTACTTAACATGATATCCTCATAAGCCCAATAACAGCATGATCCTTTTTGACAGTTTCCCACAAGTTCTTTTTGGTCTACCCCTCCTTTTCCTTTTGACAAGAGTATTATCATCCACTAACCCAATCATACCAACATCGAGCACTTTTTAAAAGAAGGGGAGAAATTGAGCAGGACTAGAGTTTGTAAACTTACTATGTAAGGAACAGGTGCATCTAAAAAGTCCAGCATATCATCTGGCAAAACCTGGAAATTTTCGAATACAAGTACTGAAAATATGAACAATTTAAATATCAATTTAGAAAATCAGTAGAGATCATTAAGAGATGATACCGGCATCAAGAGGCTTTGCCATTGGTATGGACGGATCAGAGGGACAATTGACAAAACTGTAGCAGATAAGATTCCCTGCAAATAATTTCAAATCTAATATAAACGCAAAGGTTCTATATTTCTAACCATCAACCACTGAAGAAAAAAAAAAGAAAAAGACATAATCCACATCATTCAAAATACGTGATAAACATCAAGCAGAAAAACTCAAAAGAATTGAGATGAGGTCTCCTAATTATAAAAATATGGATTCAAATCCATGCAAACTCCAAGCTACTTATAAATCATTCCAGGCAAATGGATGCAACCAGCCTAGAGGCCATGGAAGGAGATGCAGTTAGGACCGTGTAATTGCAACACATTCATCAGGTTTTAACATAAAGATTGGTAGTTGAAACATAATCAACCAGGGAAAAAACCACCATCAATTAAGATGATACTTAATACCTACCAAATTCGAACAAACAACCACAATCTGCTTCTCCAGCAATGCGCCAGCAAAGATTGTTAACACCTGCAGGATAAGAAAAATCAATACTGCTAACCTCTCAACGATCCATGCAAGACCAAGCAAATTTAAATCACTAATGCTCATTATAACTTGAGGGAACAATCAACTTAGACACACAACACAAAAAATAGATAAATGGTGTTCGGTCATCATGTCACGATAACAAATAGAACAAGATTTACAACATCAGGACAAAACTAACAAATTTTTATGATTAAATTCATGGTTACATTTCATAGATTAATGAATTACTAATGCAGCATCAAAACTGTATATATTCGCCCACTTGAAAAGTGTAAAAACAAATTTATGTCCTTAAATTTCACAACACTAAAGTCCATGAGGAAAATAATTTACATGACATCCAAAAAGCCAAGTATGACATCAACCACAATCAACTTAGAGGAAAACCTAAAACTATCCTTCTGTGAATAAAAAGGAACACATTCTTACGTGTTCAAGCCGCAGAGATCCACACATGCATGCAACAGCCCACGTTGATAGAGTGGTTGCTTCCTCTTCGGCCAAAAGGGCAGTGTGTGCCTGACAGAAGCAGACAATGGTGAGATGTAATTGAACCGCCAAGTCTGAAATGAGCAATGCAAAAATTATTCCATCCTATGAAACTAACAATCATGGTTACCTCAGCAAATTCAAGTCTTGTACTGCAAGATCTCAAATCAATGGTTGAGCCAGCAATATGCAAAACTTTTTCATCAGGTCTATGATATTCCAGCGGATGAAGGTGCTCCAAAGGATGAAACGTAAGTTTTGAACCCCTTGTGGGGCAAGGTAACCGATAATATTCACATAGTATCTGCAATGATCCATGATTGTTTGCCTGGAAATTGGGGGAAATCACTTTTTCTAAGATGTCACAGAAAAAAGAAAAGTGTGGCATGCCACAAGGGTAAATTTAGAGCTTAAATCAAGATAGATTCAAACCTTAGCCCATTCAAGAATATCAAGGTGATCACTGGAATCTTCCTGGCCAGAAATAGATGCCTCTTCTGTTTCTGTATCATCAACATCACTCCTCAAATTCCTTTCTTCGCAAGGAGAACCTTGAAAACTGCATAGACACATATAAATCCCATATTTATATCAGACATTGATGACCAAGTCACTTCAACCTGAAAAAGTGTGTGCGTACATAAAAATGTAAATACATGTGCGTTTGTGAAGTTAGACATAGAGAGACGAAGAAGGAAAACTTCCATTTAAATGATCACCGAAAAACAAATGTATACCACATTAAGGTTTGGGATTATATGCAGACTACATGGTAACACTCATCCACATAGTTGCAGATGTAGAAAACAACAGATAGCATGAAAGTGCTACTTTCTCAATTATTAAAAAAATTACTAAAAGATAGGACTCCTAAATGTAAAAGAGCCAAAAGCATACTTCAGCAAAACAATATAAAACTGATTCACCATATAAGCTCCACAGAAATGAGTAACAAACTAAACAAACAGGAGCATTGCAAACATTCTACCTGCAAGAAGATTCAGAGCTTTCATACTGATAATAGCGCAAAAGTGGCAAAACAGCATTTGGCAAATGTCTTTCTGCCGCTTGCTTATTTGTCGTGAAATCATCTAAATCAGTAACACAATCTTCAGGATTTGCAACACTAGATTCTTTTTTTCTTGTAAACATCTCAGTTTCCAGATCAATTGGAACAACAGTATCATGATTAACGGCTTTGTTCGAGTCAAAGTCCCTCTCAAGTATTTGATGCTCCAAGTTATTCCCATCATCAGTAACTCTAGGGTTAGAATCTCCTGAACTTATCTCAGAGGTTTTGGTCATTGTGTTCTGCATGTCCTCTAGAGCTCCTTGATCTGTTGACATATCATCTAGATTTGCTTCATTGCTATAACTCTCTGACAACTCTAAATCCATATCACCAATACTTATTGTTAACCGCTCCAACCTTTCTTCATCAAATAAGCTGCACGAAAATTTTAAGGGGGAAAAGAAGTTATGATAACAAGTGAGATGAACTAGAACCATATAGATAGCGTCAAATCCTCAAGATTTCAGTCCAAAAACTTTATGAAGTGGGATTATCTCCATCAATGCATAAATTTAAAACAATGTTTCAGAAATTTGAGCAAATAAAAGATCCAATAACATAAGAAATAAAGCTATAGTTTTCCCTTATGGTTTGCTAGGTAGGGTGGATTGAAAAATTGGAGGAAGAGAAAAGTGAGAAGGAAAAAATACTTTTCTTTCTAGTGGTGTGCTTGGTAAGAAAGATGAAAAAATGGAGAGAAAAAATAATAACGGTCAATTTTATAATTATGCAACACTTATTCACACCTTTCTCATTTTCTCTCCTCCTATCTTTCCAATTTGGAATGATTTGCTTTCGTGAATAAGGGTGGAAAATGGATATCTTTCCTATTTTTTTCCTTTCACTTTTCTCCCACACCAAGCACACTCAAAATTTACATTTTCTTTCCACGTTTCCACCTGTACCTTTCCATCCTTCCACTTTTCCACTCTACCAAGCACACCCTCAGTGACAATAATAATAAGTTAAGAAAGAGGTTCGTAAGTGATCCTCATTATCTTTTGTTGTATCTGATATGTAATAAAGCATACCTATTCAGCAAACCAAAGTGCAACTCAAAGAATGGAAGCCTCGAAAGAATGCAATAACATCTGCGAGTGGTCATCACATAACGGCTTAGAGACGGGGCGGCAGGTTGTCTATCTGAAATCAAGGAAAGCAATCCAGAGGGCTTTTGTACTATTTCTTCAACTAACACACAGCACCCATACAAAGTGGAATTATCAGCAACCTGGAAGGGGAAAGAACAGAAATAAAAAAAATTTTAAAAAAGGAAAGCTACCATAATTTACAATGTCATGAGAAAGGAAATTAGAATTGAAGCAGCAAACCAACAGCAAATGAACTTCTTCTAATCAATCAAAGATAAGAGGAAAACAACAAAATGCAATCATCATCAAGTATACACATGATAGAGCTATAGGCAGTGATCTAGTAAACTTAAAGATCTGGCATATAGATGACTAAAAGGTTCAAATACGAGTTGATAACAACCACAACAAAAATTAAAGGGAAAACCGTTAGCAGAGAATAGCAACGAGAACAAGGATTTTGGGATCCAAAAAAGACCAGACCAAGTCAGTTCATAAAAATTCCAGAATAGACTAGCCTCTATTACTAGCTCTGGCTGGAATATGAGCAAGCGAGAAGGCTTCACATGAGTTTCACTTCTCAGTATCTATATCTACAGTTATAGAACTCTAAAATGGTGATCACCATCCAGCATGTCAAACTTTGATCACATAAGAAGCAGGCAACACAACTGAATACAGAAAACACAATGGAAAAACAAGACTTCAACAGTAGACAACCAATAGCTTAATATTTCAAACTTCAAAGGTTACCTGTAACCGGAATACAAATGACAGGTCACTTTGCTTTAGGTGTTCCTGCAAGACAAGCATCGTGACAGAAAAGATTACAATTTGACATGACATAAACTTTCATTTTGCAATAACACGTGCATGCATGCGCTTATACAAGTCTCTAGCATTAAAAATTCAAATGGAACTAAATACAGAGGCTAGAATTAGCTAATATAGCGTACGGCTACAAGTGATAACAATCTGACCTAACCTCAAAACAAATTTCAGTGTCATATATGACCCACGTTGGCATCAGTATAGAAAAAAGAATTAGTTTACATTGTCAATCAAGTGATAGAAACTCAAATTATGCAGTCTGAAGAAGCATTTAGTTAAGTAAATCTAGAAGAGATTTAAACAACGTTTTTTATGGTGAAACTCTAAAACCAGAATAATTGAGAAGCTCACAATCAAACAACCCTAAATAATCTATCAAGTGGAAGAGCATTAACACCAATTTTAGCATAAATACCTGTGAAAGAAGAATTTCATTCAGCTCACTCATTGAAGGAGTTCTCTCAACGGCATGAACCTAAAATAACACAACTTGAATTTAGAAATACCAGCTTAAAGGCACATCTATGTTGCAAATACATATTTACACTGGAACAAAATTTAAATTGACAAAATCTCTCAACTAAGCATTCATATTACAGCATGAGTTAAACTCCTTTGAATGTGAATATTTCATACTCAACTAAGCACTACAAAAAATAAATAAATAAATAAATAAGAAGAAGTAGAAGAAGAAGAAGGAACCATTAGCCAACCTCTACACCTCCAGGGAAGCAAAATGAAAGAAGATCCTTGTATTTAAGTGGCAGCTGCTTTTCTGGAGGATAAACAAATAAGACCTGAAAGTAAAGGACAGAATCAATATCCAAAGAAATAACCCACCCCACCCCCCTCCCTCTCTCCACATAAATAGAGACCCCCTTCAAGATATACGAAATCAATTGTTTTATGAAGAAAACCCACCTGGGGTTCAAGGTTAGGTTCAACACGAGAATTGTTCTGACAACTTAGAGCACTTCGAAACTTCCCAGAACCTTCAAACTTTCTGGTAGCATATTGCCTTTGAAGTGCCTGAATATCACAATTAGGAGGAAGTCCAACAACAACCATGCTCTCGAACAATCTTGATGGTTCTTTCAAAGATCTATGATCCTGCACACTTAACAACAAAATGTTATAAAAACACTTTCAAATTTTGTGTCTATCAGTTAAATATAATTACAAATATATCAAAAGTAAAATATAAGAGGTTTATCAGACATCATATAAGGAAAGCAATATACAAATTGAGTGACAACTAGACAAGCAACTACTTCATTTTAAGAGCGCTAAATGCTGGAATAAAAGACTTAAACATACATAAAATGAAAGCTACACTAAAAAAAAAAAAAATAGCAACATCACTCAGTAGATACTTGCAGAGAGAACTCCATACACAAGTGTGAATAGCATTAACAACTACATGTCCACTTGAATTAAGTATCGTACCAAGTATTGCAACTGAAAGCTTGCCCATTGACGCTTTTGGCTAGTCAGAACTTCGGGATTGTAAGTTCCACTTCTCACTTCAGGGGGATGCGAGAAGCCTTTTAACACTCTTGAAACATGACGCTGTAGCTTCTGAAATTGGCTACCGCCATTTTCATCTTTAGATGAATATACAGCAGATGGTCGAGGAGAACGAACAGCAGTTGCAGCTGCTGCGGCAGCTACAACTGCTCTTGCAACATCCTCTGTCGTCTGCATGAACAAGGATGCACTCCATCCAGGGCTACCAGAATCTTCACTCTTAGACATCCTTAAAGCTTCTCAACTGCTAACATATACAAAATAATCAAAGAATAAACATAAACAGTTGCTAAAACATTGAACTTTTCATTAAATTAGACTAAAATTACTAGCTTTATCACTTTCCTCCTTTCAAGTGAAAAAAAAAAAAAAACGAAAACCCTTTTTTCAACAATCCAAAATCGACTTATCTAATCAACAAAAACATGTTCAAGATTGCTGAATTCACCCTTTGGACTCAGACAAGTTATACTAGTTAAACGTCTATCCGAGTTGAAAAAATATTCAGTTACTTCCCTTCTATTAAAAAATATTTCAGTTACAACTTACAACTTAGAAAAAGAAAATAAGTTAGAATAGATGAAATAAATAAAAAGCCATCAATTTTCTTGTAATAAAGTATGATCCTCCAAAGTACAGTAATTCGCCCATAATTATCAAGAAATTCTTGCAATTCAAGCATAAAAAACCCAATCAACAATCCAAAGACAAACTTTGAATCCACCAAAGTAAGAGCTTAAAAGCAAAGGAAAAAAAAAAAACACAAAAAAAAGTTTTTCAAATAAACATGGGTACTGAAAATTAACCTGTAGAAAAAAAAATTAACGCGGGAAAAAAAAACTTACCTCAAAAAAAAAAAAACCGATTTAGAGCCGCACCAAAACGATTTTTCGCCGATTAACTTAACGAAACGATAACTTCAGAAAAAGGGAAAACCAAAAACTAGCACAGACAGAAAGAAAACAGAAAGGGTTTTAAGCGGCCGCCATATGAAGAAAAAAAAGCTCTCTGCATAAGGTAAAAAAGCTCCGGTTTTTTGGTTTTTTCTCTTGCTTGGGAGAAAGTAAAGACTAAATGAAAGAAATCAAAAAGGGTTTTTTTTCCTCTTCCTCGTATGCGTCGTCGAAGATGATGATAATGTTTTTGTAAAAATACCAGAATAAATAAAAAGCTGCAACCCAAAAATAAAAAACAACAACAACGTAAGGAGACGGTCTGTTTCAGTTTCTTTCTCTTTCTCTTCTTCTTGGTTTTGTCGTGCTATTATGTCCCGTCTGCGCACGAATTAGGATTGGAGTTTAGGAGAGAAAAGATCGAGATTATGATTTTTTTTTTTTAATTTACCAATCCTCTCCTAAATCTTTTTCTTTTTTATATATTCACAAATTGCATTAGTTTATTATTTTATCTAAATACACACGGCGCGCAATGCGCCACTATTGAGCAGGGAAGGGTCAAAGTAGGGGAGAGATTTTATTTGGTAGGATTATTCAGATCATATATTATAATTTTTATATGGCTTTAATGTTGACACGTGGCTATTTGACAACATGTACGGACAGGATCCTTGAGATGGGGTTCACTTTTTTTTTTTTTTTGGTATAACGTGCCACTCCTTTATGTTCAACAAATTATGACCATTTTTCTTCGATCAAGATTTTTTTCTTTTAATTTCCCTAATTTCTAACTTTTTTTTCTTAACAATTTGGTACGGCTATAGTTTTAGTGAAATTTTCTGAGTTTCAATATGAATAAATCAAGTATTTGACATTCTTGATTAAATTGAGAATAGAAAAGTAATATAAAATTCATGTCCATTGATAATTTTAGACATATATTTGTTTCTTTATATTAGAAGATGGAAGATTCAACTCAATTTTTTAATAAGAAAAAAATTGCCGTCTCATAAACAATATTTTAATTTGATTACTAAAGATTTTTAAAATTTTTTACTTCGTTTTATTTTAATATATTTTTAATTAAAATATAAAAATACCTCTTAACATTAGATAAATATATTACGTTTTCAAAAACTTTATTTTGTCCCAAAAATATATTGTTAATTAAATTAATTTTAAAAAATATTTTTTATTGATTATTAAATTATTTTGTATTGATTAATAAATTTTTATCAAATAAATATTGAAAATTTATAAATCATTTTTAAATTTTATTTTCTATAAAACAAACAAATCCTACATAAAATTGGCTTTTAATATATTTATATTTATACGTAAAAGAAATAAGCAGTAAATTAATTTTGTGTGGAAAAAGCTTCATTGCTCGAGAAGTTAGGGCCAGGGAACCAGACATGCTCATTGAGCAAATGATGTATGATAGGTTAAAAAGTGAGGAAAATTAGGCTTTGGAGGGTGGCGTGAGGAAGTAGGCAAATGAATTAACAGGCATGATTAGGGTTGCCAAGCGTTTTCCCTTCTCTTTTATATTGCTGTTTTGAAGGGTAGGGACCAAGGACAAGTTGCTTTATGATGCAGAAGCCCCACATTTGTGAATGATTGCATCAGACATGAAGGAGTTGTTGATGTGGGCTACCACATGTTACTGTTTTGACCCTTTACTCTTTTGAAAAGATGCATGTATTTAATAATAATAATAATAAAGCTTTCCATGTTCTCCACTGCATGGGATTGCTCACCTTGGATAGCAATGCATGTGCCTATCCTCACTTTCTTGCTCTAAATTCTCAACTATTGAACTGGGGTTAGCTTGTACTCAAAACAAACTTTAATTCTTTTATGGTAGATATGTTTTTATGATGACCCAAAAACATATATATATATATAATGATTTTGATTTTGATTTAAATTGAATTTGATTTAATTTTTTTATGATGTATAAAATTATAAATCATTAAAATTTAATTAAAATTTAAATTAAATTTTTATATGATTTAATTCTATTTGAATTAAATTTTATTTTTATATATTATTTTAATATAATGTTTAATATATTTAAATATAATATTTTTATTTTATTTTAAAAAATTTAAAAATATATAAAATTAATAAAAATATATAATTAAGTTTATTAGTTTATTTTTAATATAAAATTTAATTTAAACTTAACATATACATTTAATATTTAAATTTAATTCGAATAAAAATAAATATTATAATTTCAAATTAATTTTCAATATTTTTAATTTTTTCTCACCCATATATCAGTAGATAAAAAAATTAATGTTTTTTTATTGGATCACAAAATTTGTCTCATAAATTCTTAACCATTTATGTTTGTAACAATTTATTCCACAATGCATCGTGTCACACCTAACATTTTTGCAAATAAAACACAAGCATATCGTGTCCAAAAAAAATAGGATACCATTTTTTTTCCTTTTACTTCAACAACCAAAAAAACGTGAAATTTGGACCAATGTATAATTTAATTATTATCACATTAGTCAACCTTTCAATTGTTACATCAATAAGCGACGGAGGAAGAATATAAGAATCTCGAAGCTCTCTAGGTTGAGATGTTGAATTGACCGAGTTAAGCTTTGGGAACCAACGAAAAAACAAAGATAAACATGAATTTGACACAGTTTTGGATGTGGACGGCGTTTATGCACTTTCAGTTTCTCACTTGTTGACTTTGACAGGCTCCATTATCTCTTGATGTATCAATATAATAATAATATAATTTAAAATTTTAATAAAATTATAAATAAATTTAGTAAAATTAAATATATATTTTATATTTATAATATATGATTTTTTATATAAAATATAATATATTGACAAATTTACTAATCTCTTCATGTTCGCCAAACCCATTTGCAAATGTTGCGCAATGAAAAAACGATGTGGTGGAATTTTTTTTACAGCCTTGAAAAGTCCTCCTGCTTTCTACCAAACCCTTTTTTTTTTTTTTTGTAGGGTCTTGAATTTGCTTAAGCAAATCTCATTACCTTCCCAACACCGCTCATGAAAATGTGCCAACCAGCCGACAAACATGAAAAAAATTGTCAAATGTCATCAAGAATCCAAGTGGAGTGATAATGAATGCGTCAGTCTGTGGACACGAAATCAACGCGCATTTTGCAATCATTACAAGCTCTAATTAAGGCTAAAAGAAAAGGGTATATAATGAATTTCGTAAACCAGGAAACTAAGGCCCAGTTTAGGAAGCATTTGCGTTAGCATAGTTTAGATAGAAACTCAAGCTTTTTGGTCTAGGCTCAAACTTCAAACTTGTACTTTTTTAACTAAGAATTGAGCCCATATTCAAAGTCCATACCATTTTCCATGAAAAATTTTGCAAGAGACCGGAAAAAGGAAAAAAAAAATAGTGGCAGTCAGTGTTTCACATGGCACGTGAAACCCATGCCAAAAGAAGCAGCCACGCCAACCGACTTCGTCCATCACCGCCCTATCAAAGAAATTTCAACTCTAAATACGCCTCACCCTCGGTCCCTTAGCCCCATCCAATGTACAAGCACATGCTCATATTCATCCCTTCAAAATATCTTTATCTGGCATATGTCAAGTTCGGCAGTTTAGTTTTGACCAATAGAATAAAAATACTAGTAGTAAGTGTGGGCTTTCCTTAATTTCTCAGTTGGAATATACCATCAATAAACTCATCATCATCGGATCAAGTTTGCAGAAAAAGTGACAATGGCTACGTTGTTTTCTCCTTACAAGATGGGCAAGTTCAACCTTTCTCACAGGTTTGTCTACCCTGCAACTTTGACTACTCTGTCTGTGATTCAGTTTGTCGTTTTTGCATCAAATTCCGTGATCCAAAGGGGGCACTTAGAACCTTGTCGTTAGGGAACTTTCCGTTTCAGACATGTTCCTCCACGATCTCCTCGGATTCTGTAAATCCGGGAGAAATACCGAAGGCTAATTTTGTGACTTTCATCTAAGTATATTTTTCTAATGACGAATTTGTGTCCTTGAATGGGTTGTGTCTGATGGCAGGGTGGTGCTGGCGCCTATGACGCGATGCAGGGCGTTGAATGGAATTCCAAGGCCGGCGCTTGCTGAATATTACACGCAGAGGTCGACTCCTGGCGGTTTTCTCATCACTGAAGGGACATTGATCTCTAACACTGGAGCAGGGTAATTTCGTAACTCAATTGATAATGAAAGCTCTTACAGCTCACTATCATTATTCCAGCAATAGTGGCTGCTAGGCCCATTACCAATTGGATTGGATTGCTCATTGCTGACTTTAGACCTGAACCAGACATTGATCCTGAGCAAATTTAATCATGCATGTTTTTGAGTTTTTCTATACCATTATTTTTCTTTTTCCTGCTCATGGACGTTGTGTTTATTGTTACCATTCTATTAGTAGTAAATAGTAATATTTGTTTCTATTGCAGTAATAAATAGTAGTAAAGTTGTGTTCATGGATTCAATTTTCTAAGCAGATGAATAAGAGTCAATTGTATTTTAGTCTTGTACTGTTTGCAGACGCAATACTTCACTTAAATTATGGACAAATATAATCACTTTGTATCTGAAATAATGGCACCCTTTTTGGTCTCTCGACTCCTTGTTGCAAATAGTTCTCCTAAAACAAACTTAGTACCAAGTTTTAATAAAATAATTTACCAATATAATTTGTCATTAGAATTAACTCAGCTATCAGTTTTTCACAGTCCCTGTCTCTAATTTCATAGTGAATTATTCAGACAAATCTTACTACTGTCCTAAAGTTCCTTTGAAATCCTTTGTCACATTTATTTGATGGTTTTCAGTTTTCACTCTCAGATCTATATGTTTAAGAGCATTTCTTTTAACTATAGCATTGTCTGATATTGCAATGTTGAAGCAGGTTTCCACATGTTCCTGGAATCTACAATGAAGAACAGGTGGAGGCATGGAGGAGGATTGTGGCTGCTGTTCATGACAAAGGAGGCATCATTTTCTGTCAACTATGGCACGTTGGCCGAGCATCTCATTCAGGTAACTTCCTCAATCCCTTGGTACCTTTTTGCAGTTCAATCAGAATAGTCCTCAATATCATTCATTCATATGCTACATGGTGGGATTACATTAACTGTTATTCACCATGCATTGTTTTTTTCTTTTTGGGGTGTTGAGCACTTATTCACAAGTTTTATTTGGTTATTGACTGATGAAATAGTGTATCAACCTGGTGGAGCGGCACCAATATCATCAACAAACAAGCCCATCTCGAATAGGTGGAGAATTCTTATGCCAGATGGGAGCTATGGTATATACCCAAAACCTCGATCTCTGGAAATCTCGGAAATACAAGAGGTTGTAGAGCATTACCGCAAGGCGGCCTTGAATGCCATGCAAGCAGGTTAGATTAAATAGTAATCTTCACTTTCTATTGATACAATGTGCTGAAGTAGTATTCATTTTAATTTATGGGTTTGATGGAGGCCTCTAGGAAAAGTCATTTTTTTATTCTTAAATAGCAAGCTGATTTAAAAAAAGACAGTTACTTTTATTTTTATCAAAAAGATGGTGTATGCTTTATTAAAATTTTACTAGGGGTACATGCAGCCATGATTTCTTTCCAAAATAGGGGATCTTTCTTATGCCTTTTAGTAACATGGGAATACATTGAATGGCTATCATTATGTCTCCATTATAGTGGCTACATATATGCAGCATGGCCATGATGCCACATTTAGTTATCACGCTAGCTAAAACATTAATGTGACATATGAACTTGACTTCTGTCTATGGTCATGCGTACCAGTACAAAGATCAAGCTGTTCAGTCTTGCCATATATTTGTCAGCATTGATCAATATCTTGAAAAGCTGTGGCAAACAACTTGGAATTTTTAACATTGTTTCCCTCCCATTGGACTTGATAGAACTTTTCAGACAGAGAAGAATTTACTTCTGAATGAAGTTCTGAGCCATATTTAGGAATTAGGATAGTGTTAGAATTGATCTGTTAATTAGCATATAAACTACCATCACATTTTATTATGAACTTTTTCTTACCTTATCCAGTTTCAACAAAATATGTATAATTTTCCTTATCACTACATTCATATGACATCTATTTAAACTGTATAAAATCATTAAAACTTACAGGTTTTGATGGAATTGAGATTCATGGAGCACATGGCTATCTCATTGACCAATTCTTAAAGGATGGGATCAATGATCGCACAGATGAGTACGGTGGATCATTGGAAAACCGCTGCAAGTTCTTAATGCAAATTGTTCAAGCAGTAGCTTCAGCCATTGGTGCCGATAGAGTTGCCATCAGAATTTCTCCTGCAATCGATCACCTTGACGCAACAGACTCTAATCCGCTCAGCTTAGGCTTGGCAGTGATTGGGAGACTTAACAAGCTCCAGCTACAGCTGGGGTCAAACCTCGCTTATCTTCATGTAACTCAGCCTCGTTATCATGCTTATGGGCAAACAGAATCAGGCAGAAACGGTAGTGAAGATGAGGAAGCTTATTTAATGAGAACTCTGAAGAGGACTTATCAGGGAACTTTCATGTGTAGTGGTGGATTCAATAGGGAGCTGGGAATGCAAGCTGTGGCTGAGGGTGATGCGGATCTGGTATCCTATGGCCGTCTTTTCATCTCAAATCCTGACCTAGTCTTGAGGTTGAAAGTTAATGTTCCATTAAATAGGCACATTAGGAAGACGTTTTATACTCAGGATCCTGTGGTTGGATACACAGACTATCCATTCCTGAGTGAAGAGAAAGGTACCCAAGTACAGTCACGCCTTTGATGTGTAATAGCAATTTATTATTTAATATCTAATGATTGGCATAAAAGTGAAAACGTTGCTCCACCTGGAGCTCGTTTTAGATTCTCATCGATCAAGGCAAGAGAAGATAGGAAAATTTACTACTACTACTACTATGTAAACGGCTGGGCCTGATTGTCCATTTTGAGCAATAAAACTGCGTGCGCAGGCCAAGTGCCACGGTCCCCATGTTCCTCATTTTGAAATCACGCGTCCTAGTGACACCAAGATTATTCCTAGTCGATTAGCTTTCACCGAGTCCATTTTTCTTTGGACCGTGTGACACCAAGATTATTCCTAGTCGATTAGCTTTCACCGAGTCCATTTTTCTTTGGACAGATCAATTTTTATCCTTCAAGTCGCATACACAAGAGTCTTTTCTGGCTTTGATCCTGTAAGGTTGCTCATTTTGCACTCTATAGAAAGGAATCAAACTCCCATCGCTCATCAGCTCACGATTCTCAAAGTGGTCCCGAGCACCCAACTCTGCCCGCAGGGCTTAAGGTCTCGAGCACCGATCCTCGAGTACCCGTAGGGGCACGTAGCCCCGGTTTTCATGACACTATTTTTTTTTATATGGTGGGAACCCAACACCATGTCCGTTCGTATTATATGCAAGCTCTCCTATCTAGTTTACGCAAGCGCACCACTTATGTTGGTCAGCAGCCAATACGGAGCCTCTAGGTTCATCTCGTCCCATGAGACTCAATTCTTAGGGTTTCAATCCTTAGCTTCCATATGGACTGCTCGCACCAATGATTGACACCCAATATCATACTAGTCCCACAAGGAGACTTGGGTGTACTGCCTCAGCTGCAGCACACCTTTACCGATTGACCACATGGGCTAGCAACGTGACTGCCTGTTAGCCAGCACATCCCTCAAGCTCGATGGCATCTTTCATACGCAAACACCATCTCATGATCCTTTCGATTTGAGGAGGAAAAACCGAGGGGCATAACGATCTCTACCGTGTAACCTTATAGCTCAACGCAAAGGCACGGCCCCAACCGTCTTAGGGTTTATCATGACCTGAGAAACATCATGCACGCTCGTGACCCTACGATGCCCGCCCATCTAGACACCACTAGTGCCTAGGAGTAGCTCACTTCAGACTAGCTAAGCCCTACCTGCCCGCTAGCTAAGGGATGGTGGAGAACTGACACCGGTCATCCCTTATAAAGAGCAAGAGATTTTTCTCAATCTCCTACTAGTGACTGTAAGATTGTCCGAAATGGAGACACTTTTCTCTCCAGTCACATCAGGATCTTTCTCCGGCTAACTCAGGGCCCCATAACCTTCCTCTTGGTCACCACTATTCCTTGATTCTGCTTGTTGCTCCACCAACCTACTTAAAGGTGCCCGCATATGGTTTCGACTCGACAGCACCTGCACTGACTAGCTGGTCCCAGAGCATCGGCGCATTGCCTCACACTTATCTGCATATCTTAGGGTTTATGGCTCAGACTATCCACGCACAATATCCCTAATATATTCTCATGCTCAGAACGCCCGCACGCTGCTTCCACTAATGGCACCCACCGGACTACTTGGCTTGAGGGTGTTTGACTACTATCCCAAACTTACCCGCGTATCTTACAATCCAGGGCTCTCACTGCCCGCATAACATGTTAATAACATGTTCTAAAGCTCCAAATGCATGCTCGCATCTCTTAAAATTACTTTTTGCTAGCTTGATTTTGACCGTTGATTGATTCAAGGTCAGTCATAGCAGAACCAAGGCCTGGCCATGACCCAAGCGTATGCTTTAATGGTCTGCTGTCTAGGACACCAGGCAAAGGCTTTACATTACTCAGAAGAGGAAATCCCTCCTGTAATAAGACTACGAGAAATTAGAATGTTAATACGAAAGTATGGGATAGAATATTTTTTATTTTTAATTTTTAATATTATATATTCTCGTTTTTATATTTAACAAATATTTTAACTTTATTTTTATCTTTGTAGTTATTTAATATGATCAACGATTTCTCTACTCATAATTTTTTTTAAAAGTAAAAAATTTAATTTAATTTTTTAGTTTTTTATCTTAAATATTTATATAATTTTTTTATAAATATATATTTATTAAATATAAATATATTAATTTTAATTAATTTAAAATAAATTTTATATTATTAAATATATATCAATATATATAAAAGATATAAATATAAGACAGATATTATATTACTTATTTTTATACTTATATTTCATAAATATGTAAATTTATACTCATCTCCATTTTATCTTCAAAATTTAATATTTATCTTCATTCTATTAAAATAAAAAATCAGACACTGAGATTTTTCTTTTTATTATTTTTTTGGTGGCCTTAAAAATATCTCATAAGTAATAGGACGTCAAGAGACGCGGCTAGTTCTAGATAGACTGCATAAAAGTGAATCGGTGGCTGTTTGAGGGTTGGAAAGGAATGCAGCCATCAAATTGTAAATCAGCTATGCAGGGGTTAGATTAATAGTTAGTCCTCAGTGTATATAGGATAGATTTTGTAATTCCTCGGAAATTTTCTTGATCTATTTTGCACATAAATGAAGTTTCAACTCGTGTGGATGCTTAAGTTTCTTACTTGGTCGAAAAGTTTGTCTTTCTGCTGTAATTACCTTAGACATTGGCTGAGAGATTGCCAAGTTCATTATTTACAGTGAATTTGATTTCATTTACCTTGTCATGGTTTCTTCCTTGCTTTATCCATCTTGTCGTTAGCCGAACCTAAGATGTTTGTACTATGTGAATCAAGAAAAAGTCTCCACGGCAAGATTTCAAAATGAAATCCAAAGGAAAATCTTCAGTGATGAACGATGATGACTGGAAAGTAACAGAAGCATCCTATTTTCCAGCTGGAAAATGGATGGCTATTGGCCTGGCTTTTATCCTTCAGTCATTTTCAAACCTTGTCTCTGCTGCTACTTTTACGGGATGGGTCAACTAGGGATTTTTATTTTCACATTCATGCATTAGGAACCGCTAGCTATATTTGCAGATAGATTAGATATTTGCAGATAGATTAGATATTTACCTCAGCTGGAATATTCTTATTTTGTTCCTTGATTCTTGTTGGCTTGAGCTTGGGACAATAACCATCAACTCATTTTAAAATTTACATCAGAAATTGAAAACCCAGGAGGAGAATTACTTGGACTTAATTTCAAGTAGATCAGATGTAATAGATAGAACTTTTTGCAAGCAATTCTTCTTCAGGCACTTTGTATATGTGTTTAATCCAATGCTGAAATTTTGGTGAGGTTCCTTAACTATGGGAAAGTGGCATGTAATGCCCAAAAATAGCAGAATAAAAGAAATAGGAGGTTTCTGCATATTTATTCATTGCATATTGTACTTCCAACTTGCAAGTAACTGCAGCTGGATGGTGAATAAATTGTGCCAGCAGTTTCTAATCAATAAATCTTCAAGTGAGGGGCCTGAGAAAGGCCATCAATAAATGGGATGCCTGAGAGCAGAGGAAATAAGAAAACCCTGCTTCAACTCAAGCTGCTAGGTTGAAAACGGTGTACTGCCACTCTCCTGCTTGATCTGCCTGGATCCATGAAAAATGCTTAAATTGATATTGGTTTTGATTGTTTATATTTCCAAGGATCTGGCATTGGGAGACACCCTTTACCCTTTTGAATGTAATCTAGATGTCTTGAAAGATAGGGAACTTGCAACGTCCACATATTTTTCCATAGATATAATCAAAGTGATAAGGAGACTTGCATAGACTCGTATTAGCTGTCAAAATGTTTTCTATTGCCCTAACTTCACTCCCTTCTATCGTGCCCGTGGAGCCATAGGACCACAGTTTGATATTTCTCCATTCTCTTTCAAATTTTCACCCTGTAAACAATGATCTTGGTTTTCCATGCTAATTAAGCCTTAATAACAGGCTATATTGATGTCTTATTGTCTAATATATTGAAAATTTCAAACTGCCGTCTGCAAATATGTGATTGCATAGAAAATAGAGGAGCAGGTCGCCTTCGGTGACTCCATAAATCATGCAGGATGAGTACTAATGCCACAATTACTATCAATCTAGCATCTTTTGACAGCAACTGTTTGATGGATACACACACCTACTGGTTTTCATTTATGGAAGAGAAGTCTTGCTTTAATTGAAACGTTAATGATACGCAACCGGTCAATGCAATTCCTGTTTCATTAATGCTAGTGGACAGTCCAAGGTTGCATATATATCAAAAGTTGATACTAGATTATAAGTCACTATCAGGGTATTTAATGATCAAAATGGTATAATGATATTTTTTTTTATTAAAACTTTCAGCAAATAATCAAAAGTAATTTTGACATTATATTCAGTGCCACAACAGTGTGATCATATCCTTTTTGTCCCTCGATAATTCCCTATCTCTCATTTATAAATACGAATGTCCAAACATTATTAAGGTAAGTTCAATATACTCTTAATTTTTTTTTACTACTCTTTTTTTTACCTCACTCATTCTGATTGTCGAAGTGCAAACATAAGTAACATTCCCTACCTTTACTTATAACCTTTCTTCTCTTCTATCTTTTTAGGAATATCCTAAAATCGGAGCTCGACACAAATACTTGGCACTCCAAGCATGAGACATTTTTCACTCACTAGTCAAACACGAAACAATGCCACTTAGGAAAAAAAACTTTAAAGAAAGGAGAGACCACCATCCCAATCGAGACGAAAATGCACAATAGCCAACACTCAGACTTACTTGCCCCACCACAAATCGGCCTGACCATGGAACAATTCTAGGGTTTGACCAAGCAAATAAAGGCTCTCAAACAGATGCTGCAAACCATAATCCCACCATAAGCTTTGAAAATGTCTAACCTAATCACCCCTAGTCAAGGAGCCGCAATAAAACAGCCTAGTTATGAATAGATGGAAGCCTCTTCAATCTCTAAGGAAAAAGAGCACAATACCGCCATCCATCACTACCTCAATCACAATTCAACAAATGCTACAACCTAAAAATCCAAACAGACAAACCTGGAACCCTAACCAAACAAAGCTTTAGAAGCTTAGATGTTGGCTATAGAGAAAGAGCTAAAAACAATGGTAGTGGCATTCGATGATGAGCTTAAATTTCTTGAGACTTTGCCCTTTACTGAAGAGATTGACAAAGCCATGCCTCCAAAAGGGTTCAAAATGTCAACCTTAGAACCTATAACGGTACTTCTAACC